CCCTGGGCAGTCTGCTGTGTTTTCCTACCGGGGAGGGCAGAGGAGACTAAGGAAAAGGCCCATGACTGACTGGTCCTCAGCAACAGGAGAGGGGGCTGTGTCCTTTCAATGTTTGCTAAAACAAAAGTCCCCAGGGGTTTCTGAGTCAGGTTCTCTCCTACTGTGTGCATCAGAATCTTCTGGAAGACCTTTAAAAGATAAAAGGCCCAGGTGCCAACTGATTCTGTGGGTGGGGAAGGGGTCAGGACATGGCGTATTGTTGAAGCTCCTCTAGGCACAGTCGGGACTCACTGCTCTAAATGGAGACATCTGCCATGCTCCCTCAGATACAGTGTTCTGGTCACAAGAATTAGATCTTCCACTGCATTCTCAGGTGGCCTTTCCTTCCTCAAGGTAGAGGGGGGTCAGCTCATGTGATGTGCACTGTGACTTGGCTTTTAAGAAAGTATGGATGCCTTTAAATTAAAGGTCCTCAACCCAACCTATGTACTGGGAAGCTTCTGAAGGTTTCATTGCCTGGGCTGCACCAAAGACCAAGTCAATCGGATCCCTGGGGGTGGGACACAGGTGTCAGAATCTGTAAACCTCTCAAGTGGTTCCATGGAGCTGAGTGATTGCTCCCATGTGCCATAGCTCTGGCACCCTGGCTGGATTAGCCATGACCCTGGAGCTATTTGAGTTTGCCACCCCTGGAGCAGAGGATTGTGGGAGTGGGGAGGGGCTGCTAGAGTTGGAGGTGACGCCATTTTCAGCTGTAGTTGACCAGAGCCGTGACCCCTGGCCCCAAGTCCTGACCATCATCAGCTGGTGCTCAGTGAGAATCTTCTGTGGGGCAGACTCTGGGCTGGATCCTTCATGGGACATGTGACTGAGTCCCTGCCCCAGATGAATTTGTCACCCAGCAAGAGAAATAAGATAAGCATGTAAAAATAACTATGCTTAGGTAAGGCAGAAATCAGTAAGTGCCGCAGAAGCAATAAAAAGTGGGTATTGTGTCATGTAATTCTTAAAAAAGAAAAAACCATGCCCCAAAACACAGACTTCTGATTTGCAGTGAAGGATCACAGTTCCAAAAATCCAGGAAAGTAGGATGGTGACATCTTCCACTTAGACAAGTCTCTAACCCCAGAGTGGTGTCAGCACGAACCCCAGAGGACTTGGGTTTGTCATCATCCTACACAGATGGGCTCGTGCAGGGCCTGCAGTGAAAGGGCTGTAGAGGTCATCGTTCCTGTCCTCCTTGGACCAGAAGAAGGTTGCTCATGACCCAGAGAAGTAAAGCTTCTAGTTCAAGTTACACAGCAAGGCAGGGGTGGCCAGAAACCAGGCTTTGGTGCCCATCCCAGTGGCCCTCCTGTTACTCTGCTTGAAGAGCAGAGGGATTTCAGACTACAAGGGCAGGTCTTTATGCCTGACCCCATTAACCAAGGACAGCACACTGCCCAAATTCCACCATTAGTGCCCCATGCTTTTGTATCCTAGCATCCTCTGTTTGAATGAAAGCTTCCCAAACAGGAGGAACCTATTACATTCCTAAGTTCCCAGATACCCAGCCCGAGCTCTCAGGCCCTCTGAGATTTGAGTAGCAGAATGTTTGTTCTCCTTTCTGCCAGATTTTCTGCTAATACAGAGGAGGTTCAGGTCATGGCACTCTGCTGACCTTGTTAGAACTAAGTAAAATACCCATTTCTTATACTGAGCTGTGGAACAGTTGCTCCACTAAAATAACATCAGAAGTCGGAACATTGTGAAGGATTATGGACCACTGTTGCCAGTGAGGAACTCGGGCCCCTGTGTGCTTACCACCACGTGGCCATTGCTTCCCCCTGCCAGGGGTCAGTCCTGTCTTGGAGAGGGGCCGGTGACTGGGCAGAGACTGGGTAAGCCTCATGGAAATGATAGTTTACATGCACATAAACTGACTCGCTGGCAGGCACTTGTCTAAGCACTTTGTACATGCTACTTTTGCCCCAGTGTGGTCATCCACTTTACAGATAGGCATATCAAGGCACAAGAGGGTAAGAAACTGTCCCAGGATCTTACAGTTCCTAAGTGGCTGAGCCAGGATTTGAACCCACACAGGCCCTCCTAGTCTGTGTGCTCAAGTATTTATTGTCCTAAGCTGCTCACAAGGAGCAGCCTGGATGTCCCCTGTACACATTGGCCAGGGAAGCTATATAGAGGAGGGGCTCCCCCTCCATTCCCAGGAACACAGCATGATGGTCCCCACACTCCAGGAAGTGGGGTGCCATGATGGCCCGGTGCCATGGACACTCATGGGTCATGGAGCTCCACCACAGCTTTTGGCAGGCCTCACTAGAGGCCCTGAGCCCTGCCAGACCCCCACTGAGTCCCCTCAGTCTTCCCCTCACCACCTACTGCCATCGCAGCCCTCTCCTTGTGAGCCCAGACTCCCCAGCTTCCTACAGAGGTACCTCCTCTGAGCCTGGCTTCTCTTCCTTCGATGGCAGCCCTGGGGAAGTCGTTCCACCAGGTCCTCCCGGACGGGCCTGTCCTGGAGGTGAGCTGGGCCTCTGTCATCACCGCTTGAGGTCTCTGGCGCCACACACATTCAGATATGCCCAACATACAACATTCATACACCGAACACACCACCCAATCACACAAAGCACACATGCATCCCAATGTGTGTATACACCCAGCACACAAACTCAACACACACACAGCTCCCCCAGCACGAACACACTCCTACCTTCCCTACCTATCTTGTGCCTGTACTTGCCTATCCCCCACACGCCCACCTGCAGGTCACATGCAGAACAGATTCAGTGTGAAGGGTGACCAGTGAGGCTGGGTAGCCTAGCAAGACAGGAGAGAGGTCAGGATGGCTTGGTACAGGACGCTAGTGCAGGTGGCTGGACAGAGGCTTGATAAAAGCCTCATGGTCATGCAGACTCCCAAGGGGTCAGGCTGTGCAGTGGCCCTGGTGTCTCAGAAGGAGGAGCCCAGGGCAGCAGCACAGAGTGGCAACCAGGCAGCTGTGGCCTGTGCTGCTGTGCAGGCAGATGGGTGGCTCCTCCTGCAGCCACCCCTTGTCACACCCATCCCCAGGCACCCAGCACCTGGGGGACCAAGGGGAAATTCCGGCCCTTAGCAGCATCTGCTGCTGGGTTTCCAGCAGGGCCTTTATCTGAGACTGAGAATAATGGGTTTCCTTTCTGGGGTAAGGTTTTTATTCTTCCTCTTTCTCTCCGACTTTCTGTCCAAAACGAGCTCAACTCTGGAAAATAGACCTTTTGTTAACAAGTCTTATTGACCACACTCCCCTCCCTCAGCCACCACCTTTTCATGCTTCCAAGGAAACCTTCTGTGTCAAGTCCATGGTAAGAGAGCACAAAAGAACGCCTTGATCTTCCTCCTGTCCTCCACCTGCTCCTCCTCCACAGCGTCCCCTGCATCCCACTCTGTGCTTGCAGCAGGAGCCCGGGTAGACGGAGGTTGGGACAGGGAGAAATAACTTGACTTCTTCCTTGTTTTCCTTCAGCGGTTTCTACCAGCATCACAAATCTAGATCCTGCCTGGAAGATGGGGAAAGGACTAGGATGGGACCCCCTAGGTTCATGGCTGCCCTTTGGGCAGGGAGTGGCCTCCAGGCCTGGGAGCACAGTCTTCATGAGAGCTGGGAGACCCATTCCCAGCCTGGGACAACTGTATCCATTTATTTCACCTGGATCTTTCTTTTTCCCCCTTCAACAGCCCTATTACCATATTTAAATGCAAGTATGTCTCTTTTCATTGACATTTTCAGTAGCTTAGCCAGACCTGTTTTAGAGTAGCCTGTTCCTTTTGAACTCCTTTCCCCTCAGTAGTACTGTGTAGCTAGGACAGTAGTCTTAGAGTTTAGTGAGCTTCTAGTTCGCTCTGTTTGGAGGATGTCTCTTTCTCCTTTCTTTCTTCCTCTGCTCCCTGCCCTTCACGTGCATGTCTTCCTGCTCTTGCCCCATGGATGCCCCTTATTGGAGAGGCTCAGTGGCTAAACTGGAGCAGCTCTGTTGGGGGCTGTTCGTTGAGTTTGCGGCTGGCTTTGGGCACATCATCAAACACTGCCGCTGTCGGAAGCAGGGCTCAGGGTCAGGCCTCCGCGTGGTTGACGGCCGAGGATGTCTGCTGTTCACTGTGTGGGAGGATATCTGTGTGTCCCAGTGCGTGGCTGTGCGTGTTTGCCCAGGGGAGGGGTGGTGGCCCGCCTCTTCCTCCATTGGGACATTCTGCAGCCACACACCTTGGCACTCTGACTTTATTCCTGCCTGGCACGGCCTGGCTGCCCAGTATGTTTTTAGCTTGCACAAGCTAGGGCTGCTGAGATCCCCAAGGAACCCTCCTGTGCTGGCTTCATCTGACCGTGGAGCTCAGCCTTAAAAGCCATATCTGAGTCCCTTAATTGTCCCAGGAGATGGAAACACTGAAAAAGATCAAACAAAGTCATAGAGCTCTCCTGACAGAACCCACAGCCCTCCCACAGCTGTCTCCATGTGTCCACAGTCAAAACCCCCTGGGTACTTCCCTCTCAGACCCAGGGCTGTGATGCTGCTGACAGGACCTTTTGATAAGTTTAACGTTCACTCGGCTGAGTTAAGCTATCTCCTGGCCTAGGTGCCTGTTCTGTCCAGAGACCGTCCCAAGTGCCTCTTGTCTGGCTTACCTGCACCTGGGAGCCCGGTGGGGAGCAGCAGACCTGCCCAGCTACATGTGGCCTGCTCTGGACATGCACTGGGGACCCAATGTGTGTCTGTGCCATGCCTCCAGGGTCGCAGCACCTCCTCCTCCTCCTTCTCTATAGTTGTCGTGTGCCTTCCACTGCCAGCTCCTGGGGCAAGCCAGTGTGAGAATCAAACACACCTAAAGATTCTGTGTCTTCCAGAAGCCCCAGAGCCCCTCTGCCCCAAGCTCCCTCCCCAGGCCTGTCTTTTGTGGGAGGGAGAGGTCTGCCCAGGGCCCTGCCAGGCTCCCTCCTGACTCCGGCCCCTCCCTCCCTCCAGGCTTCCCAGCAGCGGCTTATGGACCAGTGGCGGCGGCAGCAGTGGCAGCAGCTCGAGGATCAGGTAGGAAGGTGTGCGGGACAGGCGGCTCCCAGGCATGCCCCAGTGTGCAGGGGAAGGTAAAGGCCCTGTCGGATCTGTGTGGCTATGTCTGTCCAGCATTCCTCTCACCTCGGCCCCGGGGAGGCGGTGGGGACAGGGAGATGTGGGTGAGGAGTCCCGGTCACCCAAGGGCAGCTCCCTCAGGGGTCAGTCCCAGTCTGGCTGCAGATGAAAGGTAGATTGTGAGACTCCCAAGAAAAGGGAAATCAGAGTTCCCTTTTGACTTTGAGCTATCCCTTCTCCTGAAGGCCTGGCTTCTGGGCACCTGTGGTCACTTTCCTCCTTGACTTTTGGGGGTTCAACAAGCTTCCTTCCAGGGTCTCTGATAATCCAGAGAGGGACTCGCTGTCCTCCGGACCCCTCCAGCACCTGGCAGGTGGGCCTGCTGAACCCTCAGGGCCCCTGAAGGCCAGATGTGGGGCAAGCCCTTGAGCCCAGGGAAGGAGGGAAGCTGCTGTTTCCCGGAGTTCCTGCTGCCTGCCTCAGGTGTTCTTAGCCAGGGGGCTCCAACCACCAAGCAAACAGGGCCTTCTCTTTCCTGAGGTTGCCCCAGTCCTTCCCTCTCCAAATCCAACCTTTTAAGAGGTCTGGAACCACCCAAGTGACCTGGGAACCCTTCCCCGGCCGTGCTGGGATGCACCCCTCAAATGCTCTGCTTTCCTAGGCACTAGGGCCTCAGCCCTGCACTGGGCTCGCCTACAGCCACTGTTCCAGTTCCCTCTGCCCCCACTGGCCCTCCCTAAATTGAATAGCCAAGGTTTGCAGCTCCCTCCCTGACCTCACCCCAGGGGCAGAGCACTGGAGCACCCAGGAAGTGCTTTAATTTCCTATAACAGGGCCCTGGGGAGGGAGGTGGGACAGGGCAGGGGTGCTGGTGAGGGTAACAGGAAAGGATGCATTAAAAACCCAGAGGGCTGATGCCAAAGACCCAAACCCTCCACACTGAGAGGCCCATTAGAAAACGTCAGTAAAACTCCGTTCCATGCAAACTGGCACTGCCTCGGAGCTACAAAGGATCCACTCCCCAGAATCACCCATTAGGGTTTTGTTTGGTGGGCCCTGCAAATTCTCGGGGGGGCTACTAAGGGGCAGTTTGCCAGATAGCTGGTGAGTGGCAAGTGGCAAGCAGACCCAGAGGCCTGGGCACCATCCACCCGCCCTAGCTGGTTGCCAAAGGCCTCACCTGCACTCTGGCCAGTGTCCCTTGGTGCCCCCACCCTGGGCCCTGGGGGCAGGGTGCACAGCTGAAGTGTGTCCCTGTTCTGCTTGGTTTTTTAACTTGAGTGCTTTTTATTATCATTTTTTTTTAAAAGCCTCAATCCTACCTGTGCCTGGGATGGGGGAAAGATAAAAAGAACAATCTTGAGATTTTTGAGTGTTGTTGGTTGTTGTTTTCTTCATTCAGTTTCTTTCTTTTTATAACTTGAATTATGAAACTAAACTTTAACCTGAAATTAACCCTGCCTCTCTCCCCACCCCACCCCATTCTCCTTGACTTCATGGCAAGTTTAAAGGGCAGCATGGGGTTCTTCGGAAGTCTGAGAGCGGTCTCCCCACAGGCTGTGCCCCCTTCTGCCGCCTCCACCCTCTCAAAGACGCCCCCAGAGCCAGGCGGGAGTCCCACCCACCCTCTAACCCTAACCCTCAAGGTCATCTCCAGCCATGCTTTTGTTTCCCAGGGTCAATGGTGTTTTATTTGTAGCCATCTCTCCCACAGGCCATTCAAGATCCGTCATGCTCATCTCTGCACTGTTAGTGAATCCTATTCAGGAGTGTGCTCCCAGACCCCCTGCCCCACCCCAGCCTGGGTTAGTGCAAGGAGTAAATCCTCAACTCGAGGTGCCCACCCCCCAGGTGAGGCTCACCCAGCAAGCTACAGGGAAGCCCCCCCAGTGCTGCCTGGGGGTCATGGGTTTGGGGTGTGCCCCAGAACCATGCTACCATAGTCAGAACATGGCCTGGGCCGCTTGTGTGTAGGCAGGGTTACAGAGTTGGGACCGGAAGGTCTCAGCCTCTCTTTCAGTACATTTTGACTGGTAGGGGGACGGTCACCTTCTTCCCTCCAGAAAATGACCGGAACGTCAAGGCTGGCAGTTGGTCTGTTATTTATCTGTTGAGTGGCCCTTCATTGGCAGAAGCTCTTGGCTATGAACTGAGAAGGGCCACACAGACTCTTTGGGGTGTGTGTATCAGTCCAGGCCCTCGAAGGGCTCATCAGGAGCTGACAACCCAGGTCTACCTATACCAGCTCCTGCAACCCTGCCCCGAACAGCCCAGCTCCTCCCCAGGGGAGAAGGATGCTCCTTCAGCCTCCTGAGCAAGTAGCGTGGCAGTGAGAGGGCTTCACAGCTCAGTGCCTGTTCAGGGAGAATCACTGAATACCTACCTGGAGCCTGGTACCTAACAGGAGACTCCAACCAGTAGGAAATGTGACCTCTGCTCCCCGGGGGCTCTTGGGCTTGGTTTAGGTATCAGGCACCCTCTGGAAGGCCCTTTTATGTCTCTGATTTTTGTCTAGCTCTACCATATCCGTTTTGCCCAGCTCCTTCCATTATGATTTCCAGAGGACCCTCCCTGAGTAAGAAGTACCGTGGAGAGCTAGGGGTAGGAGGCAGCTTCACTGGGGCTCAGGATGGAAGCTGGCATCTGTCAGGGCTTTGGTGTCAGGGTAGGAGGTCCAGGGGGACCTTGAGCTCTGCACCCAACTCAGCCCACTCCTCTGGGCCAGCCCATCCGCCTTTTCCCGATTTCCTCAGGAACCGAGGCGAGCAGGGCTCAGGGTTCTCCCGAGAGGATGAGGGCCCTGCCGACTCCTAGATAACTTCACTATCAGTGGTCACTTTTCTTTTGCCTTCACCTGGTGGTTTGAAATATCATCTTTGCTTGTGCTCAGTCAAGCGTTTGTTTGTTTATTTTGATCGTATTCATTCAGTCCCAGTGACCCCATCATGTCCTACCCAAACCTAAGTCCAGTTTGGCAAACAACTCCCTCCAATGGGAGGGCAATGGTTCAGATTTTCGGGGCTACCTTATTTCTGGGTGATATTATGGGTGGATCCGTGGATCACTCTTAGAATTGCTGAGCCCCCTGGTGTACCCTGCCCCTTCCCCAGCCCATCTCCAGCCCCAGCCAGGACCCCTTACTGTACTTTATACTTGCCAGCTTTATTTCAGTCTAGTTACATGAGCTCCTGATGGTGGTGGTGAGTGTGAGCAGTCATGTTTCTGTTGTCTTTTCTCTTGCTTGGTTGGGGCTGCGGTGAGAGAGTGTCTCTGAGGCATACTTTCCCGCCTCTCTTACACTAGGATCTGCACACCTCCTCTCAAACACTCTTCTGAGCACGCTCAGCGGGAAGGTTTGTCCACACCTATTAATCCTCTCTCGGTGTCCAGCTTCCTGTTAGTACCAGCTGGTTTGCATGTTTTTGCTTGTTCAGATGAAACAGTTCAAGAAACAAACTCATATCCAACTCTCGAGAAATGTCTTTTTTTGTACACTTTCGTTTTCAATTTTTTTTTATTAGTTACAACTCCAAAACACCTGTTGTCCAGTAAAACATTTCACACCTCCCTGCCTGTTCTTAGAGTGTATGTATCTGTGGGACTGAACTAAATGCATGCCCTGTAGTAGATGTACTGGTAGCTGTAGCCGTAGTTGTAGAACATGCATTGTTGAGTTGATATTACAGGGTCTCCAACGGCTCGGCACAGCATGACCGTCCGAAGGATAGCACGGGGGCCAGGCAGAGAAAGGGCTCCATATTTTCCATGTTGCCAAGGGACTTGGATCCATGTTCTCGCCATCAGCCACCACCACCTCCCCTCACACTCCTCACTCCCCCAGTCCAGAACTGGGTCACCACCCTCAGCTCTAGCCTTCCCGACCGAGATCTCTGTTGAGAGTGTCCCAACTTCAGTCAAAGAATGGAACCAGGGTTGGAAGGAATCTTAATGCTCTTCCCTGGGCTTATCTTCCTCATGCTGCTCTTGAACAGACAGCAGATATTTTCTTACTTCTTAAAGCCCACCAGCCAGGCTCCTCCAAGTCCCTCTATTCCTTAAGTCCTTTGGCAGCTCACACCCAGCCCTTTAGGGACAGAGGTCCATGGGGAAGCCATGTCTGTATGGTCTGCTCCTTGGGGTAGAGGGAAGTGAGACACAGTGCGGGTGGGGAGTTCACTCTCTACAGACAGAGCCACACTTGATGCTGGTGAATGTTGGCCTTGATCGTTATGGTTGGTGAAGGTAAAAGTGGCCAGGCGGGTGAGCAATGACATCCCAATGTGGAGACGGCTAACCCAGCTTCACGGGGAGAGAAGAGGAGGTAGAGCTGGAACATCCAGAGATGAGGGCACCAGTTGCCCTCTGTCTCCCCAGGAAGGCTTCCCAGAGGGGTTGGGACCATCTTTAGCTTTTGCCCGCCATTCAGGGATATGTGTGGTCAGCCATGCTTGGGCATGCTGTCTTCCCTGCGCTTGTGGTGATAAGCCAAAGGGAGTGCCAGAGTGCTCGCTTCAGCAGCACATATACAAAGGGAGTGCCGAAGGCCTCTTAGCACTTTGGAGATGTCCATAATCTTTGCAAGTTGTTGTCAAGTAAAGTAGTACTTGCTATCTGGAACCTGCTCTTAAGTCATGGTTACTGGTGGCTGTGACCCAGCACTGCAGGAGGAGGACATGGGCAGGATCTGAACCACTAGGGTCCATGTTCTCTATTTAAGGGGAGACAGAGTTCAGGAAAAAGTCAAAGAATCCACGAAGTCCCCAAAAGAATGTGTTGCAATATAGTGAAATGTTAGCTTCACAGAGAAAGCCACAGTGCTCTAGCAGAGTCAGAATACACAGGGACTGAATGGGTGCCAGCCCAGCCTGCTACCAGACAGAATGAAGGCACCGAGGCCTGGACAGAGAAGTCTGGGAGGAGCCGTCCTTCTGCTTTGGCCTCCAAGGGAGTGGGGTTAGGGAGCAGAGGGGAAGGGCTGGGACTGTCAGGCTTATGGCTACTGCATGAGAGAGGAGGGTAGGAACAGAAGGCAGAGGGAGCAGAAGACCCCTCCCCCTGGCCTAAATCCTAGCCATGGCTCTGCTGAGAAAAAGGCTTTGCCACCCTATGGTTGGAAATCCTCAGCACTCCAGTCCAGTAGGTAAAATGGGCGGAAGTAACAGGTAAGCCAGGGAATAGGACAGCTGCACTTGAACCTGGAGAGAAAATGCCCTGGGGAGAACAGACATCAAGAAGAAGACATGCTGTTCCAGCCCCTTCAAGATATCTCTGGGTCCCCACTGCTGCCTTTGCCTTTCGTGTTGTCATGGGGCTGAGAGACAAGCAAGAGTGCCCCGTGCACGCACACACACACACACACACACACACACACACAGTCCTGGAGGGAGCTGCCGCCATCTGGGTCTGCTGTCCCCAAGCTTTAGGGCTCCCAGGAGCTACTTTCAGCAGCATTTATTGAGGTTGTGCTATTCTAGGCACCAGCAACATAAACGCAGATAACTCTCTTGCCTTCAGTGGTCTGGAAATCTCATTCTGTACCCTGAAAGTCCCTGTTTCCCATGATGCATTGCTTCTTGCCTGATGCTGACTGATACTGGATAATGGGATCTTTGACCCAGGGAGGGTAGAAATGAGGCTGGGCCAGGTATAGCAGACACACACAATATTGCACAAGCAACGGTTTATTGGTGGGAAAGCAGGCCTCAGCCAAATTGGGCTTTGGCTGAAGGGAGCAAGCAATTGGTGAGAGAGTGGCCATGCTGCTGCTCCCAGAACAAAGAGAGCAATAGGTTTTTATTGATTTGCCTGGGTGGGCTAAAGTCCGGTAATTTCCATTAACCATAGTACAGTGTCAGAAGACGTTCTGTTTTGTGATAAATTTGGACCACCTGGTGGTCATGGTCAACTCATCCTAGAGAGTAGTGAATTTCTGTGTATCTGGTGCCATCATCCTGCACAAAACATCCTGGCCGTGGACTTGGTGGGCCAACAGGTGGCCAGCTTCTCTCACGAACTGCTGGGTTACTCTGACAGCTGTTGTCATCATCTTGTATAAATGTCCTGGCTTGATGATAGGACTGAAGAACTTTTAGTGCTTCAGCTGCTAAAAAAGCATGGGGATGAGCTAGAAGCTCCAGTGGGCAATAGGCCAAGTCAACCCTGTATCTAGTCTTGGACAAAAGTATTAACAGGTCTATGTGTGGAGTTGAGTAGAATCTGACTTGAGGGTTAAGACAGAAAAGGGAACAGAATATAAAGATAGAGATGCCAAGCCTTTTATCCCACTCGAGTCACCCATCAGACATCTGCACAGGCCCAAGTGAAGAATCAGTGGCCCTATTAAAAGTAGCCTTCAGGTCTCTGAGAAGTAACCCAGGAAATGTGTCATAATCCCAACATCAGAGGTTATCTCCAGCAAAGCTAGTGGGAAACTAATAACAAATTGTTCAGCTGTGTGGCCCCCAAAATTAATGATTTTAAGTTGACTAAGAGCAAGTAAAGCTAGAGGACATATTTAGGGTTTTTTGGTAATAATTTCTCATTTTATGCAAACGTCCTGCTCTTATGCTTTTATCAGGGTCTCGTGACAAGTCTGTTGAAACATTCCGTGCTGCAAAGGCTAACAGTATATTGTGCCTAGGGGCTTATTTTGTTATCCTAGCCTTTTTTCCCACCATTGTTCCAACACAGGTGACCCCTGACTGTCTCAGTGACCACTGTCAGCTTCATTAGAAAGGGAAATGGGTCGCTGTATATCCTGGTCTCTGAGGATGGCTTTCTTATGCCTTTACACAAGATCTGATGAGGAGTAGGGGGCAGGAACACAGTACAGGTATGTCTGCTTTCCCACCCAGCCTCTCTGTGCTAAGACTGTGACATAGCCAAGATGGCGCATCTGTGGGGTAATGTCATAGGGATAGACCCACATATGTGGCCATGGAATAGAGCCTGCACAGTGGACCGAAGGGAGGACAGATCTGTGACCCATTAGGACAACCACCCAAACTCACCCAAAGGATCTTACCTGAATGTACATCTTTCTATCCACTGTCTGTGTTCTGGAGATGGACACCCTATTTCCTACTTTGTCATTAAAATTTTCATTTCTGAGAGAGCTGGGACTTTCACCATGGAGGCCAGCACTGGGATCCAGTAACCCCAGTGAATTTATAATGACGTGCACAGCTGCCTGCTGCTGCTGACCTCAGCTTCATTCATTTTCCAATAGCTTTCAGACCAACCCTGTTGAGAATAAAACACATCAGCTCTAATCAATAATTTGGTAATAGAAATGCCCGTGCACTTGATAAATCAACTCTAGTGCGATTAGTGACTAGCCTTGAAGCCCAAACCCTAAGTATAAGTTAATCCTAAAGTGAATGGAGTGGAGGGGTGGTTAATGGTCTTTTAAATCAGTGGAATGATGGTCAGTGGGTGACACGCATCTCTGCCCGCCCCCTGAGCTGATTGGCCCTCACTCTTGCATCGGCTCAGGAGTCCGGGCCCAGCTCCTAGAGGGGTGTGGGAGTGTGACAGTGCTCTGTGTGGCTCCCAGGGTGGAGGAGCCGAGAGACGTGCTCCTTGCACCTCGTGCTGGCTGGGGCTACTGCAGGGTCTAGGAAGCCTTGAAAGATGGTCAGACCCCCTTAAGGTTCATGAGAGCCATCAAAGGAACACATGCCCGAGTGTGTCGTGTTCCTTTCATTTCTCCAAGCTTTGATAATCGTGTATATACGGTCACATCCATTGCCACAGCTAAGTCGTGAGCTAAGACAGGAAGGCAGAAGCTTTTGGATTGCTTTACATGTTTGTTTTCACGAGAAGGCTAGGCTGCATGGTTATATGACTTACCCAGAGTCACACATGTGGTTACGAAGGAGCCAGGCTTTGGTCAAAGGTGAGGAACCCTGGACTTAAGCCCAGGTATTTGGCCTCCTCAAAGTAGCCCTGCGGAGAAGCCATGTCTGTTCATGAAGGACTCACCTGGCCCCCAGACACCTGGCACAAGCACAAAGAAGATTGTGCCCGGGGCACTAGAGCAGCCTCGGCTTCTAACTCTGCACATTTCCCAGGGTACATCTACCATGGAGTTTAATTGAGCAGATATTTATTCAGTAGTAATCATTATGTGTGGCAGATATTTTCCCAAGTCTGATTCAAGGGTGCCTTTGACTGTACCAGAAAACCCAGCTTAGCATGGTTCAGTATTATAGGGGATTTATTGGCTGACATCCTGGCAGCTTTATAGAAGAGCGGCTTCTCATGTAGTTTGCCCAGGCTTTTTCTCTGGTTCTCTTTGTCCTCCTTCACATTTCAGTAATGTCTATGTGATTTGCACTTGGCAGTGTTGTTCCTGTGGTGGATTGGAGAGGCAGGATTAGAGGCATGGAAACAAATTACAAATACCGCACATACATTATAAACACTGGATACCTGTTAATATATAGGTGCAAAGTAAGCAGCAAGTCTTTGGCTCTTCCCCATTGATATTAACTCTGGCCTCCACATCATGCTGAGGATTTGCAGAGATACTAGAGACAGCAAGCTTTCAGGAGACCTTGAAAGTTGGGTGGATAGAGTCATATTGGCAAGAGAGGGAGGTTCATATTCTGTATGGCAGCAGAGCCTGGAAAGGACAGAACCACCTGGTAGCAGCCCCAGAGAGGACAGCTTGACCTCCCTGAACCAAAGGTCTGAGGCTGGGTTTGTGACCTAGAACAAGGAGTGAGGCAACAAGAAGACAAGCGCAGGAGAGCATCCCACCATGGGACTCCACCTTCATTTTCCATGGCTGTTCTTTGCTTCTGCCAGAAGGTTGTCATTCATTCCCCGCCGGGGGGTGTTGGTTCCAAGTCCTTTGCCCTCACGGCAACCACTGGCCTCATTCTTTCTGCCAGTCTTTCCCTCTGTCCTTGTCTTTGCTTCCTCCCTTAAAATCTAGCTCAGGCAGAGGAAGTCACACCTGATTAGCCCTACCCTGGGATACCCCACCCATGGGGCTATAAGTCCTTGGAAGACACTCTATGTGTATTTCTGGGTGGCACCAGCGTTTCCCAACAATACATACCATTAGCCGTCCAGGAGGCAGAGTCAGCCTGGTCCTCATTCTTAGTGTAGATGAATAATTACTATACAATTAGAGAATATAGAAAATAAAAGGGCCCTCCTTCTTTGTTCCTGGATGCTTGTTTCTAGCTGAGGATCCTGCAGAATAAGAGGCAAGCAAATGATACTTTTTGAGTAGGTGTATTGGCTATCAGGATTAGGTTTGTCAGAAGATGCCACAATGAAGTCTACTCCATGGCATGGGATAAGTGGTTGATAGAATGCTAGGGACACTTCCCAGCCAATTTTAGTAAAGTAACAACAATAGTAATACATTAATAATAACTCGTGTCCTATGAGCAAGCCAAGTACTGTGCCAAGCCCACCTGCATTATCCCGTTTAATTCTCGTTAACCCTGTGCAGTGGGTGCTGTCATTCCTATTCCCATTTTGAAGATTTAAAAACTGTGGCTTAGAGAGGATAGCAGCCTGTTACGGTCGAGATCTAAAATGTCCCCCTAAATTCTCATACATATCGAAGGCATGTCGATCGTGGAGGTGCTGTGGCTGGACGTGCTGTCACGAGGTGGGGCCTGGGTGGACGTGGGTCCCTGGGGGTGGGATTTGGAAGGGTGTATTCTTGGCCTCTGCTCCCCTCGTTTCTCTTTCTGCTTCCTGGCTGCCAAAGGATGAGCAGCTTTCTTCCACCATGCCCTTCTGCCATCCCATCTCTGCTTTCTCGGGAGCCAACCATAGACTGAGACTAAGAGCAAAAGTAAACTTTGCCTCCTTTAAGTTGTGGATGTGTTGAGTATTTTATCCCAGCAACTGGGAAGTGTCTCAGACAGAGCTTGTCTGAGGTGGGAGAGACTGGATCTGAGCCTAGGCTGGCCCATCAGTTTGTGCTGTCTTAGCAGATGCTCTGTTGTTCCAGCCCAGTGATGGCTGAGCAAAACTGCAACTTTAACACTTACTCTCAACAGAAACCCACAGCTGCTCTCAACTCAATTCTTACATCCTCGAGGGGAGGAGATAAGGCACAATCATTTACAAGGAGCTTCAAGGAGGCAGTCTCTGTTTTTTGCACCTGCTTCTGCTATTAGAGATTGCATGTCATGGTGCTGCCTGGCTTTCTTTGGCTGACATTTCTGATCTGGTTTTTGGTCCCTGAATCCATTCAGACCATTGTCAGACACTGGAGGGCCAGAGGAGGCAGGGTCGGGTAAGAGAAGCCAGCCTAGAGGGAATTACTTGAAAGGAAACTTTTGCCAAAACAAGATGGATGGAAGGAAGTTAGCCACTGCCCAAAAGAAGCTAGGCAATGGAGCAAGGGAGGGCTTCTCTGCAAAGACAGACTTTCTCCATGGGGAGGAGTCAGTATCCCTTCCTGTGAGCTACCAGAACTGCATCTGGAAGATTGCTGAGAAACAAAGCTCAGCCCTAGCACTGGAAGGGGATTGGCTGCCTAGTTGCTGGGGCTTTGCTTTGGACCAATGGCAGAGGGAGGGGTGGGTCCACAGACTAGAGCAGTGGACTCCTCAGCCAATCATCTTGCAGGGAGGCTGGGCTCCCAGTACCATGGCAACTGTGAGCAAAGGCTCATTTGTTTTGTAGATGAGTAATTACTACACAATTAGAGAAAGCTAAAAATAAAAGAGCCCCTTTGTTCCTGGCTACTTATTAATATTAATAAAATGGTCTGTACAGGTCTATGATAAACAAGGCAAACCTGGGCGCTTGTGATAGAGGCCGATGTAGTTGGGGAGAGCAGCCCAGCCCTGCTTCCTAGCCCTGCTTTCTTCTCTTTCTGGAAGTTTTCCTGACTGTAACCTGGAGAAGATGGCTTTCCTGGCCTTGGGGAGGAGAACTCAGCATCAGACACACACAAGATTCAGATGCACTGAAGACCCGAAGCACAGTAGCAAAACCAGACAACATGAATCAGTGTCAAAGGACACCCTTAGTCCAGTTTTGCCATGTGTCCTTGGCCACATTCTCCTGCTGGCTTTTGATTATTCGGCTTCAGGTGCATGCAGTAAACCTTCTACCGAAGTAGCCTCCAAGATTTCAGTCCATCCCCTCCACCCTTGAAGAAGACAATCAGTTCAGGCTTAGAAATGATGTGCTGAGGGTTTACACTATGTTCAGGGATGGCCTCCACTCCAGTATCCTGGCCTTCAAGGCCAGAAGAGCAGAGAGGCTTTCCTTCTACCCCTTTTCCCTACTAGGGCAAGAGAATGCCTTGTGGATTAATCTAATAAGGATGAGAACATCTTTAAAAATAAAATAGAGGTAGCATAAGTGCATAGAAAGAAGAGTAGGGAGTTAGAAGGCTTGGTTGCAAGCCTGCTTCCTTCTCTACTAAATGAAGGTTTCAGACTAGAGGGTGTGGGGGGAGCATTGAAGATCACAGCTCTATATAGCTCCTGTTTCCAAAGCTGTTGATCTCTTGTCCTTGGAGGCTGAGACAGTGAAAATGACAGTGGCTTAAGAGCTGAGAGAGAGGAGCGAGTGGAGAGAAAGCCAGGAGCTTCCAAGTGGTAAGAAACTTGGTGGGGATGCATTTGAAGCCAGTCAGTCACTCATTGCTTAATGCATAAAGCAGTGGGAGGGACCAAGTATTTCCAGAATTGTTTATCATTTTTGCAATCTGTCGTCAGATTTCCATCCGTGAGTAGGGTTGATTGAAGGACTTGGCTCTTTGTGGATGGTATTCATTAGCAACAGTGGACTTGTTAATAGGTGTTAATAGTCACTGATGAGCAAGTCAATCCTAAGATTGAGGTCAACACAGTACTTCTGAACTTTTCCGCATGTTGGAATCACCGGGGCAGTCTTTAAACCCCGAAGACCCATCAAACCAGAATCTGGCAAGGTGGGCCTCCAGCGAGTCTGGTGTGTAACCATGGTCTCAGGTGCCATCCAGCTCTTGCTGAACATAGAGCTTCGCACCATCTGTGACCATCAGTGATACCTCAGCCTCCTCTACCAAAAGGCAGGTGAGGTCTCCAGCCTGGGTCTGGGATCTCTAGCCCACAGCTGGGACCCCAAAGCTCTCCGCTGTCCTTCCCAGCAGGACCAGGAAGACCAGCATCAGATGGGCTGAGGGGTCTTTGTCCTCATGAGGTGACTCTCCTGCCTCCCTTGGGGACAGCCCCGTCGTGGCTGAGATTAGGAACATGTACACAGATAGAAGCGGGCAGCAACAAAAAGCAGGCCAGCAGCCACCCTCCTTGACTGTCTGACGAATGGGGGCCTTTTGGTAAGGTCGGAGTTTGTTTGTTATTAAAGACCTAATTAGAAACATGAGAGGGAGCTGAATGGCTCTGTGCTTGGCTAATTAGTGACATGTATGCGCCCGCTTTGAACTTAAAGGACACAGAGCTATTAGCGCTTACATCAAAAGTGGATTAAACCCCTGTGCCTTTATAATCATTAGAGACAGGCTGCTCAAGTGGAAAGCCTTTTGTACAGGTTCTCCAGGACCCGCACCCCAGCCCCAGCTGCTGGCGCCTCAGGCAGTGCACTGCTATTAGATGTGGCTGGGCACTAAATGCCAGTCAGTCCTCAGGTGTCCCAGTACCCATAGGACTCACCCTCTGCAGGGTGGAGTGGTCTTTGGAGCCTGAGATTAGCCCTCTGGGTACCCCACTGGGTCCAGCACCTTGGCTGGGTGGGTGGGGGTGTCCAATAAGGGCCCAGGCTTGGCCAGGGCGTACTCTTCTCTGGTGGTGCCCTCTTCCACTAATACCAACTGTGTGCCTGCCTACTGCTCATTGTTTTTGGCATGTGACACAATGGGGGGGTCTAGTCCTCAGGGGAGACAAAGTCCCCTATCTCAACTGGCAGATGCCACCCAACCTCAGAGAGCCCCCAGTCTGATGGGGAAGATGTCTGCACCAGCAGGGAGCTCCCAGTCTGGAAAGGAGGGGAACAGGGTCCAAGACCTTGGCAGCTTTCATGCCAAGATAAGAGAGTAGATTCCTTATCCTTGGATTTGCCATTTCTTTGGAGCAAAGAAAGACCCAAAGGAAAGGAAACACAAAGGAACCCTTGTCTAACTATGATTCAGGGAGGGATAGCTGGGCTGTGTAATATAGTTGAAATCGCCTGTGTTTTCATGTTGGAGCTGGGCTCAGCACTACCTGGGACACTTGGTGACACTGGACACCTTCCCTAGCTGCTCAAATCCTCTTTTCTCATCTGTAACACAAGAGTCATAAAGCTCCTCTTCTAAGATGCGGGGTGCATGAAAACGGATGGTGTTAAATACCTACCAGCACTCCTGCCAACATGCTCAGGAAGTCTGAGATGCCTTCCCAGCCCGGCACCCTCTGAAGCCACCACTTAGAGAATTTTGTGCCTCTTGTCTCGTTCCCTTTCACCTGTCTTCTCCCTGGTAGTAAGTGGCATTCCACTGCCCACTGTTCCTGACAGGGACAGGGTGACGTCTGATTCTTACGTGGCTTTTCATCATGACTGAGGATGCTGTGTTAGGCCATCTTCTAAGCCTGTGGTCTTCACAGTGTTTTAAAAAGTTTGTAGTGCAGAGATGTATGCTGGTCCCATAGGATGTGGAGTCATTTATAAGACACAAGCAAGGATTTTACCCTTCTGGCTGGGGAAAGGCAGAGATGTGCCTTGCAGGGTGGGAATTAGTCGGTGAGCACACAGCAGTGCAGCAGAACAGGAAGGTGGCTGGGGACATGTAGGGAAAAGCCACACTGCTTTTATTGTTTTATTTTGCTTTGGGTTTTTTTGCCCATACTAGGAATCAAAACGAGAGCCTCTTGCTTGCTAGGCAGATACTCTACCACTGAGTTACACCTCCAGCCACAACCCCCCACCTTGTGTTTTTGAGACAGAGTCTCACTAAGTTGCCCAGACTGGCCTTGAATGTGCCATCCTCCTGCCTCAGCCTTCTGAGTAGCTGGGATTATAGGCATGTGCCATCATATCAGCCTGGTTTCTTTTTTTGGAAAGTTAGAGAGATAAATATACCTCAAGGACAGAGCCAGCCAGCAGGTCAGAACAAAGCAAGGGTGGGCTGGGGATTTAGCTCAGTGGTTTCACTGCCTGTTGCGCAAGCACGAGGACCCAAGTTCAATCCCCGGTACCAAAAAAAAAAAAAGAAGCAAGGGACAGTCTCAGGATTGAACTGGAATTGACCTGGAGCCATTAAACTGCTCAACAGAGAGGAAGGAGTCACTTCTGGGCCCCATACTCCTGTCTCTCCTTTTGTTTCTCAGGCCTTTAGGGGCTGAGTGAGGAAGGAGAAGCTCTGGTATCACCCCAGGCTTTGTGTCCAGCTGCCAGGTGGCTTGATGCAGCATTTCATGGGCACTGCAGCTTCTAGTAGGTTCCCATGCCCACTACTGCAGGCAAGTTCTAACCATTGGAGGCCTAAAGTCAGTTGGGGAAAAGATAGCAACATGTTTATGTTAAAATACTACCTGCTTGGGGCAAACCATAAAATTTATTTCCAGGGTTTTCCCCTCAGTCTCCAAAGTACTTCCAAGGCTCAGAGTGAGAGCACTGTCCAAATGTCTGTTTGCATTGGAGAGGGACTGGGAGCACCATCTTGCCTTTTCTCTTTTTCTCTTTGGTACGGACCTTGTGCATGCTGGGAAGGCACTCTACCACTGAGCTGCATTCCCAGCCCGCCATCTTCCTTCTGACCTAAATCCTGGTTTGGGCCGCCTGCTGACATCATGTGATCAGTGACACTGTCACGGCCTAGCAGACAGTTCACACAGGAGGACAAGCGCCTGCACTGATGCCTCCCATGAGGTCCCATGATGCCCAGTCACTGGCAGGGCCCCAGTGACTAGAGTCATGGCCTCTCCTTTCCCAGGGCCCCTGTCCCTTTCCCCTAGAAACTTACAAATAAACTTGGTCCCTGACCCCTGAGGGAACCTGACCTCAGAGCCAGGAATTTCCTTCTTTGTCCTCATGACAAAAACTTGTTTGGCCACCAGGCCCACTCACAGCTGCTGCGTCCCCAGGTTTACACCATGAGCAGATGGTCATCAGCCCCTCACTTCCACTTCCCCCCACTCACCTCCCCACCCAAAGCCCATTCAGCCTGGCCCTGTGTGAGCTCGAGGTGCGTTCAGACCCTAATCAGGACTGATTACAAAAGCACCGAGCTGAAAGAAGATTGTATCTCAACATGAAGTGCATTGTCTGGGCCACAAAGCCATCCTCAGATGGGTCTATTATAGACAGTTCTTCCACTGGTCTCCATGGTACTGAGAATTCCCAGTTACCACTAACATGATTTTTGGAGCGTGCAAGAGAAGTGGATATAACTGGCCAACAGTGATGTTATCTTGAAGGTTTAGGCAGGTCTGAAATGAAGACCTTCATACAGAACCGTTAGTCATAAACCTTAGGTTCTCAAGCTTACCTACTCCCTACCTGAGACACATCAGCATTCATCAGCGGGCATCAGCACCAACCACGGGAGCCTGGGCCAGGTTCAAGTTTGAGAGAACAAACAGGAACTGCAGTCTTGTAAGACTGGTACCATGGAATCTATGCTTGGAACGTCCTGTGACTCTGTCCTGTCAGCCAGTGAGTGAGTGAATGCTGGTCACATGTCCCACGCAGTATTGAAGATGAGCTGGGAATCTCTGGTACGTTGAAACTGGCATGATGTTGTCGCCGAGCCAAGCTTGTTCTCTATCACATACCTGAGTCAGTGAAAAGAAACAGCATCTTGTACTCTTAATCCTCCCTCCATTTGAAAGTGTTCTTCCCTTCTCTTCTGAAATTGCCTGGATTTCAGCAGAGCTTTAATAAATATGTATTGTGCATAAGATTAATTGTCTCTGCATCTAGGTCCCCAAACTGATGTGATTTTAATTTAGCATGTCATACCATTTCCCAGGGTTGGACAGATTGCTGGCCTTGTCTGTCTGTCCTTGTTTCTACAAAGCTAAGCTCTAGAAGAAAGTGTAAGCCAGAGATCCCTGAGACCTACTACCCAGGCAGATTCTACCGTGTTCTGCTCAAGACACACCCTGGTAATTCACAACTGAGTGTCCTTCTGGAATCAGAAGCAGGTTTGTCTGTCCTCACTGACCTTTCCCATTTGCCCATCGACCTTTACCAGACACAGTAAGAAGAATGCAGAGTGAGGTCCCCAACTGTTCCCTAAGAAAGCCCTTGGCTGCCCAGGGGCCATTCTTCAGAGCCCTCTGCAAGGAGTGGCTGGCTGTTTGAGAGGCACGCACGCAGGTCTCTGTGCACCGCCAGTTGGCACTGTGGACTCTGCAGCATCCACTGAGTCCCTGGGGCTGTAGGGAAAGAGAGAAAGGTCATTCTTGCCATAGAGAACATTCCATCTGATGGGGAACAAAAGGCCCCGAGAGAACCCTGATGACTCCCTAGAGCCCACCTTGAGGAGCTCCTTGGTAATAGCGAGTCAGGCCTGTCCCTGTGGAATTCTGGCCAAGGCCAACACAGAAGCATGAATCAGACAAGATGAGAGTAGAGGTGAATGTTGGAGAAGGCAATAACCTTAATTAGTTTCTTTAATTTCTCTCAAACAAAGCCCCCTAAAATCCAGCATGATGGATTCACGAGGCCACTGCCCTCAAAGACTGTGACATAGGCATGTGACCTCACCTGCACTCAGTCCTCCACTCTGTTGGGAGCTGAGGGCTGGGAACAAGGCTGGGACCCCAGTCATCCAAGACTCCCTTCTACTTGGCACAGAAGTGCGCAGTCTCATTGCTTTTGTTTTAGCAGCCCTTTATCTTCGGAATGGGAGCAGGGGGTGCGGGTGGGCTTGCTCTGGGGTTTGCCTTGCCCTGAGCAGCACAGGCTGACTGAGCAGGGAAGAGGTTTTGTTCCAGAAAAATGCCCACAGCAACCAGGCTCTCCTGCCTGCAAAGAAACCTGATGGCAACAGATGACTCACCAAGCAAATGATTGAAATTGTCCTGAGGGCTGGCCCTGCCCTCTGGGGAAATGTAAGACCCACCAAACCAGGAGTCCGGCCTAGGCTGGAACTCAGAGGACCCCTGTCTTCCCCTGTGGGCTGAGCTAGTCTGGAAGGGTTTTTTTTGTCACCATCTGCTTTCTCTAGATAAGTAATAATCTAGTTTTCAGACCTCTGATGGGTGCTGCCCTCATGCCTAGGGACACTATCGTTATGCCTAAAGTTCAGTGTTATCACTTAAGGACAATACAGCAATAACTATACCTAACTGTACCTCTCTACTTGCCCTAGACCTCTAGTGAGGCTGTTACTACTCCCCACTTCCACAACTTCCAAGACTAATTCCGTACTCAGCCAGCACCCCATGACCACAGCTGGGCAGGCCTGCATGCACCATGTGCCAGGGGATAGCAGGCATCTCCCCTGTCTCATTTTAGAACCCTGGGGGGAAACGTCCATGAGCTTTGGTCTAACACCCACAGGTGAAGATCTAAGCCTACAGCCCTCATCTCTGGTCAGGGTCTCCAGGATAAGATTCTTGGGCTTTGCCATTTCAGCCATTCAGGTGCTTTAATGGTGGTCAGGAAGTTCCTCCTTTTATTTAATGTGAAATTCCTCCACCTTTCATTCAAATGGGTTTTCTCTCGTCCTCTATGAGGTTTAATACCCTTGTTTTTCCCCTCTCCCTCCCCCGTCACAGGAGTCCTTTCTTCAGGTCCGAGATGATTAAATGCACCAAATGGATGAATTGGATCCATTTGTAAATCACCTGATTTGTATGGCGAGTGAATTGCATTTTCCTATATTAGATTTTCCTAAATCTGCCTATGGTACCCGCCTTGTTGGGCTCTGCATACACAACGATTTCAAAGATAGCTGTATTTGTTTTATACTTGACAAGTCGCAGAGGACTTTCTCATTTTTATTCTTGCAGCAGCCCAGAGTCAGGTGGAATAAGGGAGACATCCCTCACATGCTACAGATGAGGACATGGGCCAGAAGGCTGGAACAAAGCACAGCTCTGTGGGCCAGGATCACATGCAGGTCTCCTGACTCCAAGTCCAGTGCCCCTTTCTCTACACTATAGCGTCCTCCTGAGGGCACTGCCTGGACTGGGGAAACCCAGAGGATGCTGGGAAGTGAGGGTGTGGGGTAAAGAGGAACCTGCCCAGGATTAAGCTGATGCTATGGCCCTGCCCAGAGCTCCTGGTGGAGGAGTGAGCCTGCTCACCAGGGTGAGCCCCCAAACTTCCAGCCTGGTACAGGGCTTGTGCCAACTCACTTAACACATCTCCTGCTGCAGAAATGCCAAGCTGTTTGCAAAACATTGCCCTTTTCTGGAAAAAGCATTATAATATCCAATTTATAAAACTAGGCAATGTTGATTCCCCAGTATTTGTTCCCTGCACACACACACACACACACACACACACACACACACACACACCCTGCCCCAGCAGGAGACAAGGTGCTTTTGCCCATCAAGGCCCTTGCCTATCCTCTCTTCTAACCTGATCCTAGTACATGGGATGGTTTCTGGACCCTCAAAATGAGTCTTGGGGCCTTGGGAAAGGCACATCCACTGAAGACCGATGTGTGAGAATTGAAGGGAGGTGACTGACCTCAGAGAGCACCTTCAAGGGACTTGCCTTCGTGCCACTCTCTGTCACTCACAGCTTAGAGGAAGAGAGGTTCTTCAGATAACCCCTCTACCCCGTAGCCAGCCTGTGTTCCACATCAGGGGTTATGCTGAGTCCCCAAAAGAAGAAAATTACTTTGTCCCTGATGCCTGTCCACCATCCGATAGCAGGAACAACTACTAACAAGTGTGTGTGCCAGGTGTCTATCCCCATTCCCTTTGGAGCAGCCAGAGTCATTGCTTTTTTCTAGTCTTCCCAAAGATGCACAGATTTGCAGTTGGCTTGTTCGAGGACTTGAACATGCCCTAGAGCATGGTTCTTCTCCTACAAAGAGAGACAGAGGCGGGTGTGGCCTGTGGAGCTTGGAGGGATCTGTCTCATCACTCCTTTATGTCCTAGCACTTAAGGGCACAGGCAGGCACATTGCCCCTAGAGAAAAGGGGACCAACCCAGAAGTGGGTGCTTCCTGCCTGCCCACTGCGCCCTCTGCTGGGGACCCAGTAGCCTGGTCTTCAGCCCCTGGCTGGGCAATGTTTACAAGGTGACTGAGCTGAGACTCAGGCATTGTGATGAGCAAGTGCATAATAAAGCAGAGCCTGAGTTTGTTTGTTTGTTTGTTTGTTTTCAGTCTTTATTCTAGTACATCCTTCTCCACAGTGATTTTAGTGTCATTTGATGGAAGATGACTGAGCTGGGTGGGAGGGGTGATATAGGCCCTAGATGAGCTGCTGATTGTGAAATTCCCTTCAAGCCAACTCTCAAGCTCCAGGCCTCTGCACACACAGGAAAGGAGAGGTTGCCAGGGGTGGGGAGAGCACAGAGTTCTCTTGCCTTCTCAAGGCTGGGGAGCTGGACATTGCTGGGCAGCATCCTTCCTGGAGTGTGCGACATTCTGTCTCCAGGCACCTTCCTCCCTCCCACTGGGTTATTCTCTAGGGAGCTCTCCCTGCTGAAAAGAGCCGCAACCAAAAGCCACCTTCTCCTCACCCCTAGCAAGGGAGGCCTGCCCAAAGCCTCACTGGATCCGCATCCCTCCAGCGGAGAGAGAAGCTGGAAAAAAAAAAATGCTTTCTCTCTGTCTTCCACTGTGCCTCCGTCTCAACCCTAAAACAGAACAGGCTAGTTTGTTCCTTTGTAGAGGGACTGCCTGAGTCCCTCTGAGTCCACTGCCTGAGTAAACCAGGAATCCACAGTCAGCTCTTTTCATTTTCCTGAGCCCAGAAGAAAAAGGTGTGTGTTCAACCAAGATAATACCACCTTTTGAATACTTCCGCTATGGGGAGAAGGGCCAAATGTTATCTGCAAATTTAATCTTCTGTATTCAGACCTCTCCATCCCCTTTTCTGCCAGCGGATTCCCAAATAATCCATTCGCTCCCTATAAGCCTCTGTCATTTATTTTCTTTTTCTCTCTACCCTGCTCTCTCCATTGGCTGTTTAATTCATCTGGGATTCTGGCTTCAAAGGGACTCATTTTGGGGCTTCCCTGCCCCAAAAGCATCCAGAGGCAGCACTTTCTGCTTTGTCTGCTGAGTCAGGAGCCAGGCCCAGCTCAGTTTGGTCCCCTTTTGTATCTTAGGTCCCTGCTCAGTCTCCTGCCAGCCTGGCGTGGTGCATCTCAGTGTCTTTGAGCCCCTGTGACAAGTGTGTGAAAATCAGTCCACTCGTGGCTCTTCGGAGCCCCCAGAAGTGAGGGCCTCTGACCACAGGCCTCCAGGCAAGCTTCCACTTGGGACATTCTTCCCTTCTGTCATCCTGAGGCATCGGTCACAGGGCAGAGGAGGGAGGCAGGAGGGAGCAGGGGCCTGCAAAGCGTATGATGCTTGGGCTGCCTGGCTCTTCAAGATGGGGCTAGCTGTCCCCCAAAAGTTGACCTGTGGTTTAAAAATCAAAGAGAGTTAACTTTTACAATTAAAAAACTTTTTCCACTTTGGAAAAGAAAATAAAGAAGAAACTAGTAAGGGGAAATAACAATGACACAAACCTGGTTGGTGGGCAGTGGTTCTCATTGGGAAGGGCACAGTGAGATTTAGAGGGGCCAGAGGGAGGGTCCTGAGACGGTGTCACCTCCCACCTCCCCCTACCCCAGGGCCCAATGCCACCACTCTGGGTTCGTGGGTGTGTGGGGTTGAGTCTCCCCTTCGAGGCAGAGGTGCATTCTGAGCTTCCTTTTTAATCTGGAGTTTATATCTGAGGATAAACTAACACAAACTGGGCATTTCTATCAGAAACGCTTTAGCTATAGATTGCTTCGGTCAGTATGCTCTGCATTCATACTTCCTTGTCTTTTTTTTTTTTTTAAACAAAAGGGAAAAAGTTTCAAATGCCCCCTTTCCTTCTACTGCAGGAGGTGAGTGTGTGGGTGTCCTGTAGGACCACTGGCTCCACCCAGCTTTGGCCCAACCTCAGGTTACCATTCCCACCCCATCCCCTCCCTCCATCCCCTGCTGTCCACCCCAGAAGGAAACCCTCCGCCGCCTTCATTACTGTTATGTTAAGATGCCCAAACTTTCCATGACATATCCCATCCTCCGCCCACTTCAGTATTGGTGACTTCCATGCAGGGACATAAACGGTGGGGTGGGAAGGGAGGGAATAGCCAGTGGGGAGGGGGAGGGGGGGGGATGCAGAATGGAGATCTTTTTTGTCTTTGAAAAAAACAAACAAATTTGTCATTTAATGGATCCAAAAACAAAAAAAGGAAAGAAAAAGAAAAAAAGTGAAACACACACACACCAAAAAAGAAAAAAAATTTTAAATCCCCTCCTCAAAGATTATTTTTTTCCTGGACACAAACCGCTTTGTTTCCTGTCACGTTTTAATATCAATATTAACACAATGTGTAGTCTAAAACTAGTTCCTTTGTAGTTTGCATGGGATGTGAATGCTGTCTCAACGTGCCCAAATCTAGAAGACTGCATGAGCGTCAATTCAGATGTGAAAAAAACCTCTCTCTTTCTCTCTCTCTCCTCCATATATATTTCTATTTCTATTGTGATAATCTGGTGGGCAGTAAAGCACCTCGGGTTGGTTGCCATAGTGTGTTGAATGATTGTTTTTTTCTTCTCTCTATTTTTGGAGCTCCAAGCTTCTTAGTAGTAGCCTGGGCTGAGTATTCTTGAGTCCCTGCTGATGTTTTCGCATGGCCTTGGTTGAGTGTTAGAAGTTGGGCCTCAGCTGTTTTTCTCGAGTGTTTGGCTTGTAATGATCGGTGCATGCCTGGCTTCTGGCCTCATACCCAGCTCTATTCTCTGCACACCAGTCCTGAATAGCTACAGTGCTCAACCGAATTTTGGCGCGCCCGCTTCCCCGGCAGGCTCCAACCCAGCGCGGCCCGGAGGCTTCCCGGGGGCCAACAGCCCAGGACCTGTCGCTGATCTCTACGGCCCTGCCAGCCAGGACTCCGGAGTGGGGAATTACATAAGTGCGGCCAGCCCACAGCCCGGCTCCGGCTTCGGCCACGGCATAGCCGTAAGTACCTGCCTCCCTGCCCTCGAGCCCCTCCTTCCTGACCGGCTCTGAAGCCCATGGGGTCGGAGGGGATCCAGTATTAGGGGCAACGGAGAGATTAAGTGGGTCCCTAAAACATCGCACCAGCTACCGAGGCTGATGCTCTTCCATCTAGACATGTTCTGAGCCCCTCCCGGGTAGCTGGTGATGGAATGCAGAGCTACTCAAGTTCGAGTCGCCACTCTGCCACCTTCAGCCCTGACAACCTTGAGCTACTCACACAGTCTGTCTCAACCTCAAGTCCCAAGCTGCAGAAAGAGAATAGGATGCCTTCCTCAAAACACTGGGTTAAAATAAATAGAAATAGTGTATATCATTTGTTGTACATGGAAGGTCCTCAGTATAGATGCCATCCTCTTCACCTCAGGCTGACAACCTTAGTCTGCGTGGGTGGGTGGAGGGACCCCTTCCCAGGCAGTTTCCTTTGTTAACGTTTATTAGTTTCCAGGTTCCAAGGAAGTCCCCTTTGCGTTCTGCTGTAGCCCCCTGAAGGCCAGATGCATTTGATATTTGTAATGCTCTGTGGTTCTATAATCTGACTAATCCAGGCAATGGAAATTTGCTTAACCAATTTGCATGCTGTTTTCAGATTGTATTGTTCTTCTCCCTCCGGGTGTGTGAGCATGAATGTGCCTGAGCCCTGTCCCTTCCATTTTGGAAACAGAAAACCAGCCAACCTCTGCCCTAGCCAACCTCAGCATTTTGGGGAGAGTTTGGTTTTGAACTGAGGTGGGAGTTGTCTGCTGTCCCAGGTCCCGGCCCTGTCAGACTCCAAATCTGGCAGAGAGCTGGAGCCTGCTCTGCCTGGGGGCTGCGCTGTGGAGAACCAAGCCTGTGTGGACAGCCTGGAGTACCAGGGTGGCCTCATCCGTGCCTCCTGGCTCTGGAAGCGCCCCCTACATACACACACACACAGGTACACACTCATGCATACACACTCAAACAGATCCATGTGCAGCTGGCAGCCCTGACCTGTGCTGCCTGGGTCTTGTTCATTTGCACCGCCATGACGACATCTCACATCTGTAGTTTGATATACCTAATCCCCTTGGATCGACTGTAGCATAAATCCAGGACATTATTTTTCAGCTATGACCTGCGTCAATTTGGAGGACCGTCTGTCACCACCTGAAACACAGCTCATTTATATTTCCAGTGTCCAGAAACATAGACCCTATTTGTCCTTGAAAACCTAGGTCTTTGGACCTGTGTGCTTTGATGTTTTTTCTGAAATAACCACATACCATCAAAGTTTGTTTGCACCAGGATTTCTTCTCCCCAGCTCAATCCTTTGGGACTGGGGACAGAGACCCTTATCTTTGCCCTTTGGGGTCCAGGGTAACCATGCCCATCATTCTGGGTGTGAGGCCCCCTTTTTCTCACCACCTGGGTAAGCAGACAGGCGGGGGGGGGGGGGGGGGGGGGCGGGAGGGATTGGCTCTAAGGAGGATGTTACCCTGGCCCGTCATGGCACAGTGTCTCAGAATTACATATTCATGCTGGCAACCACAGACTAGTCCTAGAGATAATTTCCTTTTCCAGAATATGACTATCTGTTCTCATGTATAGTGCACTGATGACCTTAACAATTGTGCAATTTTAGGGACCTTTGATTGCAACGGCCTTTACAAATGGATACCACTGAGCGGGTGCTTTCGTTGCCATCTCCCTCTGAGGTATTGCCGTCTCTGCCCTGTGTCTCCGCCCCACCGGCGTGTCCGTTCATGTATGTGCACTGGCCATACATGTGCGCACACGCCCCTGTCTCATCACATCAACATCCCCCTCTTTCTGGACCCCTTTTCAGTGGGGTGGGGGCAAAAAAAAATCAAGTTTTTTAATCTTCCATCCCTTTCTTCAGCTTTTAATCATGGATCCCCCCTTTTTTAGCATCTCTCTCTCTCTCTCTCTCTCTCTCTCTCTCTCTCTCTCTCTCTTTTGATTTTGGTTCTTTGGATTCCTTTTCTATATCTTCCCCACCTTCATCTTTCTCTGTCTTGAAATACGATCAAGAGTGTGGGAAACTGGAAGGTGATCTCGTGCTGCGTCTGTCCCACAGAATGAAGGCAGGGAAACGGTATTTCTGCCAAGCCTGGGGCAGGGGATGGGCACCAGGGTCACTCCTGGAGGTCCTACACGACGACCTTGTGGGTCACTGAGCTCCCTGGGGCTCGATAGGGCTTGGCCAATGGGGTTTGTGCAGTCAAACAGCCAGACTCCATCTTTTAGTGAAAAGAAAACATTTTTGCCAGTAACTACTGAGTAATTATCCAGATTACCGCACGAAAAGCAAATTAAATTAACGACATCACCTGCGTAACATGGATTTGGATCCCTGCCAGTTTCCTAACCTTTAAAACTGAGCTCAAGTTAATTAAACATTTTTTAAATCACTTTGATGGGGATATGGAGGGCTGGAACATAGGAACGGGAGGTCGGGCAAGCAGTGAGCAGGAGGACTCTGGCCACATTTGCCACAAACGAGTATCTGCCATTCTTGGGAAGAACAAGAAGTGAGAGGGCTTGTCCTGGGGAAAGCAGTAGATATGCACTGGGTTAGCACTCGAGTTGGTAGGTTGGAATGTGGTCTGTCTCTTTGGAAGAGGGAAAGTGACAGCTGGGGCCTGGGAATAGGCTTGACTCAGACAGTCCCACTGGGGCACAAGAGCATTTCACTCTAGGAGCTGGGATATGGGAGAAGCAGCTTTGGGTTTGCAGTTCGAGGCCCTCTCTCTTGTGGAGGGGGATTGCTCCCAGCCCTGAGTCAGCCAGGACTTTGTAGGAGGTGGGGACAGGTGGAATTGAGCTCCATAAATCTCTTGGATTTCCCTCATGTTGCTGCTAAGGAATCAACGTGACTAACTCAACTGCCTCTCTTAACCAAATAAGCCATGTGTGTGAATTCTCCTCACTTCCACTTCCCTTCGAGCACTGACCCAGTTGCTGGCCAGAGCCAGAGGCCACTAACAGTTTGAAGAACAATTAGAGCTACTCGCTACTAATTAAGCTGGGTTTGGGGGCCCAAGGGCAGTAAGGTTCCTCTTCAAGCCAGGAGGCCCGAGAATTCTTGGGATTAGAGAAGGCTCCAGCTCCCTGGGGAGTCCAATGAAGAGGGGATTAAACAGCTGCTCAGCACGGCAGACTTGGAAGGCCAGGGGCCAGGGCTCCGATTGCTCCCTGCCAGCCCTGGATGTTTCCAACCCATAGCGCCAGTCCCCGCTCCCTCCAGGGTGCTGCCGCCCTCGCTGAGGGAAGGGAAGAGTCTGCTTCCAGCCCATCTCCCCCGTTCAACTCCAGGACTCAGTTTCCAGACTGAGAGGAAGTGGCCAAGGATGGAGACAGCAACCCACTCCTTCTGGAATGGATTAAGTCAGCCAATGGAGTCACAAGGTTGCCCTGGCCGTTAAGACCTCGTCACATATACACACACTGTCCGCAGCAGAGGCTACCCTTTAACACATAACGCCGCCCACGGAAGAGGGGCTCAGGCCCAGTCAATTCAGGAAGGCTTCATTAGCGAGCCTGAGGATCCTGGACCTATGTTGCTTTTCTCCAACCAAAGCCAGTTATTTGTTGTGTATTTTTTATGTGCCCTGAACCTCAGTCCCTTGATACATAATATGCTTTTTTATAAATTTGCATTTCCATTTATTAATAGTCAATTATTAATAGTTATTAACGATAGGCAGAAGTTTTCCTTGAACATTTAGCTTTGAAAATAAGAGTTTTAAGTGGAAAAAGTATCTCTGGTCAGTTTGCACTTCAATCACGTAGCCAGAAAGAAGCCCACCATGGCCACTTTTGCTGACCACATTTCCCATTGTTACCTCAAGACTTCTCCAGACCTGTAGCAGATCAGCACAAGGTGATATAGAGCTGCCCTCTCCCCAGCGTCAGGCAGGGCTTAGATGACGCGTTTCCCGATGGCCTAAGAAAGCTGTTAGCCTGGCCATTGTCACACACACTCAACCGTCGGACGTAGTCCTTTAACAAGTCTTGGTTGGTATGGTGGAATAAGTCATACACTTGCCTGACATTGCTTCTTTCTCCTCACTCCCACTTTATGTTTTCTTCGTGGCACCCTGACCTCCCCTGCCCTTCAGAGCATACCTGGATGTCCAGGCAAGACTGGGCGAAGTTTCTGAGCGGCCCTTTGTTTAGGTGATATCCTCAGACCTGGACCCTCACCAGCCTCACTCCTCATCCCAACCAGAGATGGCTCACTTCGGATCGAGGGTTGACTACATCTCTTCATCTCACGAATCTGCTGTAATATAAGACAACAGCTTTTAAATGTGTATATAACCCATGATTTGGGTTTGGTTTTGTTTCTCTTGATGGTCTCCCTTCCCCTGCTCTCTTCCCCTTCTCCTTTTAAATCTCTTTGAATCACATTTGGTAGTGATTTTGACTTAGTCCAGTAGGCACCTAGCTTTAATATCCAGTTAAAAGATAACCATAGTATAATTGTTATATTAAGGAGTTATGTTTTTTCTTTAAAAAAAATTTATTTTGCTTGTTTTGATTCTGTTCTCGCTTTTAAAGGATGCTGAGATGGTGATGTTGTTCTCCATATTTTGGTATCAATTCTGAGACTGTAATGAATTTTCAGGTGGAACTTTAGCACACACTGAAGCGAAGTTGTGAAGTGCAGAGCAGGAGGTGGGCATAAACTTTCTATTTTGTGTTGTAGAGGAAGTGAGATATAGTAGGCTAATTAACAGACTAGCAGTTCTTTTTTTGTGATGTCTCTTTGTTAACCTAAGTATCTCTATTTTCGGGCAATAAGGTAAGGACCACCATGTTTTGAGTGTCCTCCTTTTCTATAAGTGCTTTTTTTCTGTTGAAAGAGGTCATATTATAAGGTTTTTTGAAATTGTGAATTCTAAAAACAAAAAAACAAAAAAAAATAAGAGAGAGAAATGTTGTAAATACAATTCCATTAACTTCATAGAAACTATTAAGAAAGAGAGAATCAATATTTTTGTGAGGGAGCCGGTCCCAGGCAGTTTGATGCTCTGGAAGGAGGAGGGGAGGGAATGCTGACAAAGTCGGGGACTGAGACTGAAGGACACCCAGCTGCCGGGACGATCCCAGGACACGGTAGAGCACGGTGCCGCGCCCCGCCAGCACGGCTGACCCGAGAACTGCACTAGTACCCTACCAGCCTACCGACCTCTGGTCTGTGCACAGCTTCAGATGTTACCGTCTAGCTAGATTTTTATTTAAAATATGAAAAACTGCTTTTCCCAAGATGTTTTTTAAAAACAAAGCTACAATTTTAATATTTAACATATTTAAAGTTTCAAAGCACACCTGTTTGGCTTGGGGGGGCAGGAAGGAGGACATTCTTTCTCAGTCTTAAGTTTTAAATATTTGATCATTTTCTATTGTCCAATCATTTCAGCACCTCCAAAGGTTTCTAGGACACTTTTGCCTCTCTCCTCCCCCTGCCACCCATCCCAGCCCCAGATGTGGAGACCCACGGGCCAGAAGTGGATAAGCCTGCATGAATACAACCTTTTCTCCATTCACTTTCTATTTACAAATTAGGAAAGCAGCCTTTTGGTTTATATATTTTTTTTAATACCTCAGTGCTGCAAGTATCACCAGAGAGGCTATGGAAGATTTTTTTTTTAATTTATTGTAGATGTAAACAGAATTTTAAAAATAAAAAGTATAAACATCACTGCACTGTGACTGGTGGGAAAAACTGACAGTTTCCTGTTTGCACATGTTTAACATTTGGCTGTTATAATATATGGTCCTCGGTTGGGGGAAGACACTTATGATGAAGGATATTTTTTAATTTAACTTTTTTTAAATATTGGTAATAGGTCGGCAACAGCAACTATAGAAGTACAACTCAATAGATGGCATTAAAACATATTGTAGTGTGGATATATATTTTTTTCTTTTTTTAAAATGTGATATTGACGTTTTATTAATATTTTTTAAATTGTTACGTTTATAAATTTGGTACTTAAGGCACAGCCAGTATGAGACACTGAATGCGACATTTATTATAAAGAGCTGCTGCACTCCTATTTTTATAAATTTTACTAACAAAGTAGACTAATGTAGACATTCACAGACATGGTAGGGTAAAAACATCTTCAAGCTAAAGACTTCAAAATGCTAACTCAGAAAGAAAGAAAAAAAGCCTTTTTCAATTCTAATTAAACAGCAACAACTTTTTTTTTTTTTTTTAAAGAAAATCATGTTCTTTGTTTTTCCAGTAAAATGTTAGGTTGTTTGGTGAGATTTGGGGGTTTTTTTCCTTTTGTTTTTTTTTAATTATCAATTTCCAGACAACCAAGTCAAGTAAAATGCTGGACGCTTTTAAAATACCAGAATTTGTTCGAGTCATAAAGTAACAAAATACAAGTCTTATTTAAAAATCAAAACAAAACAAAGGAAAAAGAGACAGTAAATTCCCAGAAATTCAGTGTCTAGCTAGGGGATTTCATTACTCTTTGGTCCATGTTGGTGATGTACTGTATACCCCTTCTCTCTGCATCCCATCACCTCATAGAAGACTCTTGGTTGATCATTGTCTGTTAATAATGTATAAAATGGCTATCTTGTAAGCGTGCTGTCCTGGTACTAGTGTAGTGACTTTTTTTCTCCTCTTTCTTCTAGTACATATTGATAGGTATAACGTAATTAAGGTTTAAAAAAAATTAGACATAGTTATTCAGATTTAGGACCAGTAAGGATAGAACTTTCTCTTATTTATGAAAAGAAAAACATGCTAATAATTTTGGGGCAGTTTTTTTCCTTTAATTTTTTTTCTTTCAATTTGAAGTTTGATTTTATTTTTGCTGATCTGATGTGGTTTCAACTAACCCAAGGTCTCACAATGTTCAAATGCCGGCCAACTCTGCGGCGTTTTGTAGACCCCCACCCCCCTCTCTGTGAAGGGGTGTGCCATACTACCTTAAATGCTAATGCTAGATATGCAAAACTGGATTTTTTTAATTTATTTTTTAAAAGAGGGAGGCATGGTATATTAAAATGATTTTACTAAGAGAAAAAAAATATTTTTTTAAGAATGCTCAGAAGAAATTGATAATCTGTGTGAATATGTTTTAGATGTTTATATACCTTTTGAAGAGACCCAGTAGCCCATAGCACAAATCTTGTGGAAATCTGATATGTTTTAATGTGGCTACCTAGGTTAAGGTTCACGTTAGTCCCCTCCACCTCATCTAGAAGTCCATTCTGAACAATTTTTGTAAATTCTTTTAGCACTGATGTCCAGCCTTGTCTTTGTTTCAGTTAAGCTCAGTGGCGAACATGGGAACCTCCTGTCGCCTTCCCTGGGGGAGACCCCTCTTGGGTGATGGCTCTTCCCCGCCATATTGCATCGCCTCCTGGGGACTCTCTGGCTTCGAGATCTATTTGCCTGAGACCCCGAACTCCTCTCCTCCCAAGCAGGGGAGAGTGAGTGGCCGTGGCTCCTGGGCCCGTGGCGGAGGTGGGACTGAGGGAGATGACCAAGCCTGGGTCTCCTCTCCAGGAGCCTCCGCAGAGGTGGTTCGTGGCCTTCCTCACACCCATTGGGAAAACCAAATAGCCTCGCACTCCATCCCAGTCGCCCATTGGCTTGATTCAAACGAAGCCGCAACAGGCCTTTGCGTTTTGATCCTTCATAACCATCATCTTAATTTGAACTTGTAGCTTGGGCTTTAAGGTAGCATGGCTCGATTGCTGTCGACTTACTGTTTCACTGCACAGCAATTCACAGCCAGTGAATGTTACACACATCTTGCTAGACTAGTATAAAAATCATTGGGTAATTGTTGGTTCTAATGACCTGAAAGGTGTTCAGTTTTGGTTTTTGGTTTTGTTTTTGAGTTGGTTTTTTTTTCGGGGGGAGGGGTTCTTTTTTTGGTTCTTTTTCATTTGGGGATTTTGGAAAAAATAAATTTATTTTTGGTTCCAAATAGAAAAAAACAGAACCTATTTTGATCTTTTAGTGCAAATGAGGGCTAGGGACTTAGCCTCCACCACCACATGCTTCATTCTGCCATTCACTCACTGCAGCATATTCAAGACTAAAGCAATATAGTTTACTACATTTTTTATTGAAGGTCAGCCATGCTTTCTGTATTATATTGCATATGAAATTGTTTACAAAAGAAACACTAATTCATACTTCTCTTTATTGGTTGCAAGTGACACACAGGGACAGAGGGAGACTGGGGGGCGGGGAGGGGAGGGGAGAGACTTTTTTTTTCTTGAATGTGCTTCAGCAGCAAGGGACTCTTCCAAGAAAGACAAAAGCCAGGGAGGCCACAGAGGGTAGGGAAAAGGGACAGGCTGCTGGAGAGCACATTGAACAGAGACACTGGTGAGCTTCCCCACCCTCACCCTAGAGTGGAAGACAAGCAGACGTGAGCTCAGCTCAGGCCTGGGCACGGACACTACACAAAGCGATGCTGGAAAGTTAAGCAATACTTTAACTTTAATACTGTCATATGTTTGTTTTCTTTTTCTTACTTTCCTTTATTCTTTCACCAAAAAAAAAAAAAAAAGTAAACTAAAGTACAAAAGCATATAAAGAAACTCCCTTAATCCAAACACTTGGCTGTCTAATAATCAGAATGTATTGTCTCAGACAGGATTTCGTTTCCGGGAGGTGGGGTGCGAGGGGGCAGGGAACGGGGACTGAGAGACAAAAGTTCCAGAGCCTCCGTGGAAGGCTCCTACTACTGTATTCTGTACATACTGTACCATCCCGTGTGGAGTCTGTGCGTGTGCTCTTGAGTAGCGTGGGCTAGCCAATCTGCCGTTCACGGTGTGTTGTAAACTTGGAATTCCATATGTAATAGGATGCAAGTCTAAGCGTTTCATGTGGACATAAATGTATCTAAATAAAACTTTCCCTAGCACTGTGGCTGACCTCACCCTTAATTTTATACTTTAGTATGAAACTGATGAGAACTTTGGTAGTGAGTATTTTTTTTATATATATACATATATATGTATCTATATATATATATATCTCAAGCATCTTTCAGGTCTTTGTGTGTGGCTTTCTTAAAGCCCTGTTGTAAAAAATTACTATGTGGATGGCAGTCTCTCACATCACAGATGTGGAAAGTATAATTTTATATTTGTATTTTCAAATAAATAAGTTTGTGAAAGGTTTCCATCCTCTACTGTGGTCCAGAAATCAATGTGTTTGTCTGACAAAAAAAAAAATAAAATAAAATAAACTGTTTTGAACAGAGTTGTTTGTTGTTCTTGTACTTCAGAGGAGGCCTGGGGTGGGGAGAGCTGCTGTTGGCTTGGGAGTCACACCACCAAGACGGTCTTTCCCTGTCCCCAGGTTGCGTGTGGAGCCATTGTGGTTTTGGTTTTTGTTTTTTGTTTGTTGGGGGGGGGGGTCGCAACGGGGGATTGAACTTGGGACCTTGCGCTTGCGAGGCAGGCGCCGGAACCACTGAGCTAAATCCCCGGCCCCTGTACATCCATTTTTAATGGGGTGACAGGAGTCTACTAAGAAAGAAGACAGGAGTCTAGGAAGCAGGGTAGATTACCAGCGGAAGGCCTGCTGAATTTCTAAAGGGCAGGGATTAAATACTAATAGGTCCATAATGGGAGGACCCGGATGAAGCATGTGGCAGGAGTTTGGGGCCGCTCCATCCTGCTGGCTTCAGCTGGTTATCAGCAGCACATGGGAGAAGGCACCACGGCAAATGCCACAACCCTGGAGCAGGGGTCTGAAGTGATGGCAGAAAGCCTGGCCTCCGCCTTCAGGGAGATCAAAGTTTTGCCTTAGTGGGAAAATCATTAGAATCACAAAACTAAAGATACAGAGGTAGATCATCTACAATACTTCGCACTTCCTCTTTACCAAAAAATTGATAGAAAACAAAGGAACTGGGACACAGCTCATTGAGGGCAAGTCTCAAGACACCCAAGGCACATCTGAAGCAGGGGGATTCCTCACCTTTTGAGCCCCAGTGATAAACAGCCAGGCCAAGAAGTTAGTACAGGATGATGACTGAACCATAGAGTGTTCCTGTAGTGGCACCAGGGAAAAGCCACAGTCCCCAAAACATGGCCTCCATGAGTCCTATCTCCAATTTGCTGTCTCCTGTTTATAGAAACTTCAGGCACATGGGCTTTTATGCATGCCCAGGGCCTCAGAGGGTGGGAGGCACCCCTCTTTATCTGGGGCTGGAAATAGGAACCCTGGGTGCCAGCCCCAACCCCCATGTGTCACAGGTAATGCAAACAGCACCACACAGTGTCCTGGTCCACTGAACAGGAGGCTGTCACCCCTGCTGTGTGCAGAAATAGAGACCAATAGGAGCTGACTGGAGAAATGCAAGAAATTCTGAGAGGAGTGAGCCAGAGATGTAAAAAAGGCCATCTTGGCCGTCCTCATCCTGATTGCTCAGCTTGAAGGAAGGTGAGCTTCAAACCCCACCCAGGACGCTCAGGAAAGAACATGGGGAACAAGGGCACCAAACATGTGCCGGAGGCGTGTGTGTCTGCCTAGTCCTGCATGTGCTTGTGACTGTCTCTGTTGTAATGCGTGAAGGCGGGGGGGCGTTGATTTTCCCCTTAGTCTTACAACTATGGAGTGGGAGAATGAAATCTCATCTCCAGGACATCCTACTGCCCCTGAGTTCAGACCTGGTGACAAATGTCAGCAGCAGTGATGAGCGCATGGGAGGGATGGGACCTCTAACCTGAAGTGCCCACCTTAGCCAACAAGATGCACCAGAAAAGAGGTGGAAAATACCAATGTAGAGAAAAACTCATGCTTTCATGTTTTCGGAAGAAATGAGAAAGAGGAAACATCAGAAACTAAAAAGGAAAAAAAAAAGAAGACAACAATGGAATATAATACAAAAAGTAGGATGGAAAGGATGCAATCAGGTGAATCCATCATTATCTAAATATGATGGATGGAATTTGCTACTGAGATAAAGTATAAGGCTGGAAAAAATAGGTGGCAGGGAGAAAATGGGCAAATGCAAACAAAAGGACAGGAATTGAAATGTCAATATCAGGCATGGTGGAATTTAAGGTTAAAAGCACTGGATATCATACCATGATGAAAACACAATCTATTCAAAAGATAGAGCAATAATAAACCCTGGACCTCAATTACCAGAGGCACTAAAAACAGAATCAGAAATTATTAGAAATGCAAATAGAACTTGATAGAAAATAAATATATAATTAGAGACTTCACTATGTCTTTCTCAGAGCTAGACATAATAAAAATAAAGACAAAATGAATAATGTAATGGCTATGTAGAGAATCTTTGAATAGAGATTTTGCATTTTTGGTGTATATCCACAGAACATACACAAAAATCAAATTCTCCCCCTCCCACACACATGCAAAACACTACAAATTTAAATAGCTAGCTGTTTTGTAGTCTACTTTCCATTGTCATGATCCAGTAGAATTAAAAACAAATATGAAGATGTCACTATAAACATTACAACTAACATAGAAATTTTAAAAATTTAAGCTGGACACAGTGGCACACACCTGTAATCCCAGCACTCTGGGAAGCTGAGGCAGGAGGCTCACCAAGTTCTAGTCCCACCAAGATGTAGCTTAATGGCAGAGCACACTTTGGTTTGATCTTCGGCACAACCAAAAAAATCTGTATATCCTTAGACCCAAAAATATATATTTATATGTAAATTAAAGAGCAGCATAAGCACACATACCCACATCTGTAACATGCAGTCAAAGCTGTGTACAGAGGGAAGTGGATAATTTGAAATCCCTTCAATAAGGAAGAAAAACAAATTTTTTTTCAGTGAAGAAACATATTCTTCTTGCTGAGTGTGGTGGTGCAGCCTGTAATCCCAGTACTTGGGAAACTGAGGCAGGAACATTGCCACAAATTGGAGGCCAGTCTAAGTGACATAGTGAGTTCAAGACCACCCTGAACTACACAATGAGACCCTGTCTAAAATTTTTAAAAATATATTCCTCTTAATAAGGTAGCAAATAGAAGAATTTAATAGATGCTAAAACCAGTAAAATAAAAAACAAATACAAAACCTGGATTTTTTACAAACAATAAAATAGACAAATCCTTCCTCCCTGAAGGAGGGGGAAAAGAACAAAAATACACAATATTAGGAACAAGAAGGGGGACACAGCCCCCCGTTCAGAGCAAAGAATTCATAACAAATTTAAAAATACATAGGAATCAGAAAATTTCCTAGCAAATATAAATTACCAAAATCAGTAAGAAGTAGAAAACCAGAATAAACTTATTTCAAAGGATACTGAGTAATTAAAGATCTAATACTGAAAAGGGAAGTGGATAAAAATGAGTTACAAATGAATTTTTTGACTGACAATTCCAATAGTATTTGAACTCAACTGTAAACCAGGTAATTAAAAAATATGGAAAGCATTCCTGGTCCTGATGTTACAACACAATACAATACCAAGATTTTTAAAAGTGTGCCTGCAGACTTGAGAGCTCAGAGGCAAAAATTCTAAATGTAATTTTAGCAAATAGAATCTTATGATAGATCAAGTGTATGATATAATAAAGCCAACTAAATTCTTCCAAGAATGCAAGGATATTTTAATATGAAGAGATCTATCAACACAATCCATTATGTAGGCAAATTAAAGAAAAAGTATAACATAGATGCTGATAAAGTATTTGAAAAATGCGGCAGCTTTTCCTAATTAAAACACCATAGAAAGTTGAAATAGAAAATAATAACACAATATAATAAGGACTATTTACCAAACTCAATGTTAATTATTATCCTAAGTAGTAAAGCACCAAAACTATTTCAATTAAAGTAAGTATGTAGTGCTGGGGATTTAGCTTAGTGGTTTTGCCACTTGCTGCACAAGCACAAGGACCCGAGTTCAATCCCCAATACAAAAAAAAAAAAAAAAACAAATAAAATAAGTATGTAGGGGTACTGCTACTATGACTATGTCTTAAAAGTTCAAAAAAGGCAATAAGACAATAAAATATGTAAACATTAGGAAGAAAAAAGAAATATATGGTCATTTTTCTACAAATTTCAGGAGATTCTAATAAAAACAAATACATAACAATTGCTACTGAAATTGATGTAAGATGGCTGGATACAAAGTAAATATATACAAAATAGTACCTCTCTTCTCAGGTTATAAGCACTATCTTAGCTATTTTCTCATTGCTGGTACAAAATACCCAACACCCACAAGTTAAAGGATGAGAGGTTTATTTTGGCTCACAGTTTGTAGAGGTTTCAGTCCATAATTGGCTGGCTCCAAGGCAAGGCTGTATGGCTGAGGGGCATGGCAGAGAAGTAGTTCATGGTGTGAGCGCAAGAAGCAGAGAGGCATCAAAGGGAAGAGGAAGGATATACACACTCTTCCAAGCCATGCCCACAGTGACCCACCTCTTCCCACCAGGCTTCACCTCCCAATATCACACCCAGCCATAAACCCACAGTGGACTGATCCAGTGATGAGTATCACACCCCCATGATCCAGTCACCTCTCAAAAGTCCTGCCCATAAGCACATGAGGCTTTGGGGGCCATTTGAGATATAAACCCTAACAAGCATCTAGTGCTGTA